CCCACAGAGCTTTGATCTACAGTGTTTCAGAGGCCTATAATTATAGTACAGAAGCGCTCGTGAATGTTCTGTTTGGTGTCACATATTTTGTTCTTTGCTGTTACATTATTGATGTTATATGGCATAATTCTAACTATAATAATAGTGGATTTAGATAACTCGAAATAATGTGTTAATTTGGCCGTTATTTACTTCAACACCACAAATAGGTCCTAATGCATACTACCAGAAAATCTGTGGTGTAGCCCGTGTCGACCAAATTATAGTTTATCTCTCTGTATGATCTGCTTCTGCAGCTTCCGGTGCCAGTAATCCTCGTCCCCCAAACTTTCACCTCCCCACCCTCCCAAAGCTGCATCTCCCATCTCTCTCTCTCTCTCTCTCTCTCTCACACACACACACACACACACAAACAAAGTGCCGGAAACAATGCCATCGGAAATCATTTGCAAATATATTAATTAGGCCGGCATTTAATTCAAGTTCCACATCCAGATCGTTTTGCAAAGCACAATAAACTCCATGGCGCAGTCTGTGCCAACTAGCATAAGTTTTAACTCTCCTGATAACCTTTCTCTCTCTCTCTGTGTCTCTCCCTCATACACATACACACGGATTGAAGCAGCAAATAAGCAGCAGCTCAGATGTTATCTGACAGCAGTTGCTAAGGTAACTCTTTAAACAGCAAACAGGCGTCACAGAAATTTAGCAGTTTTTAGCTCAGAATAAAGTCCTTTGGAATGTATATGATCAAATGATGGTTACACTTATTCACATGAGGCAGTTCTGGCGGGCAGACGTGTCAGCTGCGAACACAACTCAGACGCCAGGGACATGGGCCTCTGAGGTCTAAATTTCACAGAGATTCGATCTACAGTGTTTGGTAGGCCTGTAATTATAGCACAGAAACGCTCGGGAATAATCTGTTTGGTGTTACAGATCTTATTTTTATGCTGCTACAGGTACTGGCGTCATTGTTCATAATTTTAGTATTAATAATAGTGGATTTAGATAAATGTTTCTAATGTGTTAAATTGACCGTTGTTTACCGTAACAACGCATCCAGGTACTGTTGCAAAACACCATGAAGTCTGTGGTGCTGGCAATGTCGTCTAAAATAATTGTTATCTCTCTGTATGATCTGACTCTGCAGATTCTGCAGCAAGTCCTCCTCGTCAGTAAACTTACAAGTACCACCACCACCCCATCCCACACCCACCCGCCCGATCTTTCTCTCTCTCTCACACTCGCATGCAAATACGGTTGATTTCAAGCAGGAAACACTCAGATTTCTCAGGTGTTATAGGAGAGGTATCATGGTGTGTTCAGCATTGATAGCACAGAAAAAACTTTTCTTTGCCATGTCTTTGAAAGTAAAACGTGCTTAGTCCAATTCACCTGCCTTTCCCTGTACCACTGGAGGTTAGTTCTGATTCACAAATGAGAGATAACATTAAAGTGAGTTTATTACAGAGAGGGGGAAATTAAATATATAAAACATTAAACTGTATTCACACTGAACCAATCAATCGTACAGTAGCACAAATACTGGAGCTGAGAGCCCCAGAAGACCACGGGTACACAAGAGCTAAGACATTGGAGCAGAGAGACTGTGGAGTTGATGGAAAATCAACAACAAAAACGTAGAAATCTGTAGCGCTCTCCAAGCCGGACGGCGTCTCAGAGCGCTTCACGGTAATGAATACCGGGGCGGAGCCAGAGGGAGAGGGATGGAGGTGAACAAAGGCGCGGCCCTGAAAGTAGGAAGAGAGTGGGGAGGCTGAGCGGCAAGGAAAGTGTGTGGTAATGGGTGACAAAATCAGGAGGATGAGACTGCCAGGCGGACATTATTTATTATAGTTAAAAAGAAGTCCATGACCTCCACGCACTTGGCATTTAATGTGAAAATTGAGAAGGCCTGAGGTGGCGCACGGAGGAGGCTTTGTTCGTGATAAAAATGGACTTTAGAATTGGTTTTTTTTTTCTCCAAGATGATGTTGGAGAAGAAGGCTGTTTTCGCACCCGTCAAAGAAAGGCTGTAGCTGTGGAGATGCTATAGTCACAGTTGGTGGTGAATTGTCACGCCATTCTTTTGCCATCAGCGTTCCAGCAGCCGGGTTTGGTCAACAACACATAACTGCCCTCTAATCCACATCACTGCCCTCTACCCCACATCACTGTCCTCTAATCCACATCACTGCCCTCTACCCCACAACACTGCCTTCTAATCTACACCACTGTCCTCTACCCCACATCACTGCCCTCTACCCCACATCACTACCCTCTATCCCACATCACTGCCCTCTATCCCACATCACTGCCATCTACCCCACATCACTGCCCTCTAATCCACATCATTGCCCTCTACCCCACATCACTGCTATCTAATCCATATCATTGCCCTCTACCCCACATCACTTCCCTCTACCCCACATCACTGCCCTCTATCCCACATCACTGCCCTCTAGCCCACATCATTGCCCTCTACCCCACATCACTGCCCTCTAATCCACATCATTGCCCTCTACCCCACATCACTGCCCTCTACCCCACATCCCTGCCATCTACCCCACATCACTGCCCTCTAATCTACATCATTGCCCTCTACCCCACATCACTGCCCTCTAATCCACATCATTGCCCTCTACCCCACATCACTGCACTCTACCCCACATCACTGCCATCTACCCCACATCACTGCCCTCTAATCCACATCACTGCCCTCTACCCCACATCACTGCCACCTACCCCACATCACTGCCCTCTACCTCACATTACTGCCCTCTACCCCATATCACTGCTCTCTACCGCACATCGCTGCTTTCTACTCCACATCACTGCCCTTTACTCTGCATCACTCACTGCCCTCTACCCTACACCAATCACTGCCCTCGCGCCCATATCACTCACTGCCCTATACCCAACGCCAATCACTGCCCCTACCCTACATCATTGCCTTTTACCCCACATTACTGCATCAATGCCCTCCACCACACATCACTATCTTCTACGCCACACCGTTTCCAGCGTTCTATCCCACATCCAAATCCTCTAACCGCATCATTGCCGTTCAGTCCTCCACATTCTCCTTCATCCTCATCTCTTATCCTTACTGGATGATCCCAGAGCCTCCCGCTTCTCCAGGGGCAGCCACACTGATTGCGCCATTCCGCACTGTTACCCCAAGGCGTAACGGTCCCAGACCCCGGGGTCAAATCTCTCTTCCCTGATCCAAATTCCCACACTCCCTGTCAATTCTCCCACTCCACCTATTACCTCACATATTCCTCTGCCAACTTTCCCCTGCCCAACGTATTTATTTACCTAATTATCTATGCATCTATGTATCCATGTATCTCCTTTTTTATTTGTTTGTCTTTTTGTGTGATTGATTCAATGATCGAAGCTGAATTTCCTGAGAATGACACCGAATTTCAAATCACGAAGCTGCTAATTTTTTTTGCAATCCATTGTGGTCAGGGACAGACAGATGTCAGTGATTCATGTGTTGTGCACTTGAAAACAATGACAAGCAGCTGGGCGGTTTCATGATCATTTGATATTTATTAAAGACAATTTGATTTTCGCTCACCATTTGCAATCTGGTTGTTAATTAGATAAACAGCCAACAGCAGGTATCCCTCTCGTGAGACATGTTGGGTGCTGTCAAAACATCAAATCGCTTTTGTTTGCCCTTCTTCTACTTTTAGTTTTAATCGCCAAATTAACAATCGCTGCAATTTACAGAATAAACATAGAACTTTCTGGTTTGGATACGCCCTTCACCTTAAACTGGAGCCGTTTTTAATCAATGTCTCGTTTTATGAGATAAAATAAATTGATACATATAATTGAACAAATAAGCTAAACAAATATGTGCAGAAATCTAATAGTTATATCACAATAAGTGTTTTAAAATGACGAGAAAATAAAAAAATCTCAAGTTTTTTGCAGTCTAGAATCGCAAGCATTATAGCTAAGTCAAAACAAAATAGCAAAGGATAAAATCACAACCATTTTCTGTGTAATACGATAACACCAATAATGTTGTCAAATTATTGCAGTGTTCAAAATACACATTATATTCATCCTGAAATGGGCACAAGTCATTCTGAAAATCACAGAAGAATATTTTACCTCGAGAACACATGGAAACTTGCTATCACAAAAGAATATGGCACGGGTTCATACTAATTGCATTTGTAAGTTGGTGGAACATGTATATTCACTTTGACCACTGGTTTTCTATCTGATCATAATCAGGAATTATAGGTGATGAAAATTTAGTTGAACGACTCTGTAAAACAAACAAAACAGATATTATTTAAAGGAAAGAAGTTGATTCTCATTAATAAGATAATATTGATTCACTTATAGCATGCTAATTTTCAGCACATTGGCTATGACAATTTCTGGGGCTGTGACTTTGTTTCAATCACCGTCTGCTGTTTGAAAGACTCTTCCCAACTGTTTTCATTAACGTTTCTGTCATTAGATACAACATTTATAAATAGCAGAATGTGAGATCGGATTTCGTTTCAGGAAAATTAAATAACAATTCTACGAGGAAAGTACAGGAGCAATAGTCTCTGACTCAAATGCAGAAAATAATTTCAAACGTTTAGAGTGGTAAATATAAATTTTAAGATTTTAGTCACATCCAACTAAGGATCACATCACTGTGAAGTTGTTGAAAAGAAGTTTTTAATTTTAGGTCCATCATCAATAGGCGTGAATACCTGTGTGGCAGCTGCACATGATCACTACACTTCAGTCTAATAAGTCTCAAGTCACGTTTGCGATTGATTAGATTCAGTGACTGGTGCTGGTTAAGGTTTATAATCATTAGAATCAGCCCTTACCGAACAAACCTGCAACTTTGGTTACAAATACACATGTCACCGTGGTGATTAGTGCCAGTCATTGGCGGGTTTCTGTGGTGTTAAATAATGCTATAAATCATGAAGCCAAATACTCACTGTTTGATCTGGTTGTTAAGATCAGACGGTGCAGAGCTCGGGAGATTCCCTTTGATTCCCAATGGGAAGCTGTCTTTCCTGCTCGGTGTCATTGTCACAGTCAACATCAAGATAATCATAACCACACTGACTGGTGTCAACGGCAAACAGCGGGTCACTGTCTGTGTGGTGTCCATCCTCTGTAGAGACAATCATCATTTATTAGTAAAAACATTCAGAAACGAGTCTGTAAGTGTGTGGCTGCATGTGCATTTGTGTGTCTGTGTATGTGTATGTCTGTGTGTCTGTGTGTTGTCCGTTTGCTTGTCTATGTGAGTGTCTGTCTGTGAGTGTCTCTGTGTGTGTCTACTCGTGTGTGCCCGTATCTTTCTGTGAGTGTGTATGCTGCGCTTGCCTGTGTGTGCATATGTATGGTATGTATGTTATGTTTCTCTGCTTGTGTATCTGTGTGTTTGTGTGTGAGAGAAAAATACCGACTGTGGAGATAACAATCTTGGATTTTTGGTTGTGTATCTTACCTCCATCACTACAATCAGAATTTTTTAAACTTGAAGTTTGGGTATTCTAGATGGAATTATTTCTCACTTGCTACATTTTAACGGGATTATTGATTTTTACACATTCATTTAAATAACTCATGATAGTGGTTTAAACGGTTATTTCCTTAATTACATCTTGATTGTTATCAACAAGACATAGAGACAAGGATATCTGTGTCAATCGGTAAGTCACATCACCATTTTATAGGTGCAGTTATTGACATTACACACAGCATCATTCTCACTGTGCAATTATTGACATTACACACAGCATCATTCTTTATGTACAATTATTGATATTAAAGAGCGCCTCGGAGATGAATTCATCAACCCGCAAAATACCCATTTCAGATTGCAGATCGACGTTTAATTCGTCTGATTTTAGCTATCACAGCATTGGCAAATATTACCAGCTGCCCTATTACCAAACCCTTAGTGCAAACACGGACCAACTGGCCTATACTTTATACAGTTACTGCATAGTAAAGCGTATCCGAGACGTCCCAACTTGAAAGGCACCACACAATTGTAATTCTTGTTGACTTGATGCCATGAAATTGCTGTATCGAATGGAAGATTGATTATAATTGTGACTTTGATCATAATTTAGCCTCCCAGATGTGTTGCTGGTTAAATATCTGCCGCAATACGTTAAGACATGACATTTACGCTCTTACCTGGACAGAGCGAGATTTCCTGGACATTGTGGCTGGTCAGTGCGGGAAAATCAGGGTGTGTCAGTGAGCAGGAGGAGGCCACGTTCCGGCACCTGGAAGGTTCCGCTCTCAGCGTCATCATCTTCCTGAAGATGACCTGCTAACAGGGAACCATTCTTACACACTCAAACATTCAGGTAGGAAAAGGAGGCAGATATCGTAAAATTTACAGCACAGAAGGAGGCCATTCATTCCATCTCTTGAAAGAGTTACGCAAATTACTTCAACTCTTCCGCGCTCTCCCCACAGCCCTTTAAATTTGTATTCCCCAATTATCTAGCCATATCCACCCAAAATTGGATCCAGTAGTGCTCACTGTATTTTATGCCTGAAATACTGTAAAAGAACTGAATTTATTTTTGGATATGTTATCTGAAGATTAAATCTTGCTTTATAGTCAAGCATGGATAAATTGGGATTTCTTCAGCCTCTAGGTTACAAGCTTCTGAGTGTAATCCAAACGGGAAATATCCGATCACACTCTGGCTTACACTGCAGTGCTCGGGGAATGTATTATATTGTGGTCCGTTTGCTGTTTAGCTGGAATTTAAATTTAAATTCAAATTGAATTTAAATATTGCAAAACTTACCAGGGAAATAAGGCTTATTCCGGAGGGCTGGCCCACAATCCCCCTGATCAGCTGTTTTCTTTACTTCATTACTCTGCATATTTTGCGCACAAATTGCCTTTCCAGTTCATTAACAGGTACACAATCAATATAAATCACTGTAAACCTATGTGAAGTGCTATGAAACATCCCGTCAAAATGGTCAGAGGCTGAATCAAATACAATAATTATTTCATAACACTCACCATCGTCATTGGAAAGAAACACTTCACTGTTTCCTTGTTCTAGATCGGATCCATTGGCACATTCCCCAGTGTAGTACTCCGGTTCCCTGGTAGAATCATTGGATCCTGAAACTGGGAAATAATGTCATTACGGTCCAGTTACAGAGGTTGTTAGAGTCTAATTCTACTCCTATTTAAAAATAAAGGTAGATACCAAAAATTAGAATATTTGTTTCGAAAATCGTCGATCATTTTTCATCAAGGAAAATATTGTCAGCAGCTCAAAATGATGATGTTGGTCAAAAGTTGATAAACATAACTAATATGATTTTTGAATACTGCCTCTGTTCAGGCTACACATTGCACATTTGACAAGATGGTACTATTTTAGATATTCGCTGGACTACAGGCTAGAGACAGACAATCAGCATCGCTTATATTAGATTCTGTAGGATTCCTTTTGGTGAATTAATGAATCCCAATATCTAATAGTTGTTTTACTCTATACTGAATTACCTAACATAACTAGGTTCAATTGTTCACTGCAGAACTCATCGTTTATAATATTTGAAAATTGAAAGACCGAGCAGATTTAGGTATTGAGTAAGTTTAATCTTCATCAGCCTTGGGATCTCAGCGCCTTGGGACGTCCTCCGGAAGTGAAAGGCGCTCCATAAATGTAGTCTTGTTGTTGTTGTTGTATTTACCAGGTACATTGATACAATGCTACAAGATGTGGCTTTTTCAGTTCTTTGAATAAAAACTTGAAAACCTATCCACACGGCATTTCAATCAATACATTTACCATCAAATAGGTTATTAATGCTGATGCTTGCTTGTACATTGATTCGGGTACAATAAACTTGATTGTAAAGTAAATACCAGAGGAGCCAGGATCAAATTGTCCTCTTCTTATTGGCAGCTCATCAATTTCTTCATAACTTGCTTGATACGAACGAGCAGATGAACACTTCTCCTCTGTTCGAAGTTAACATGTACAGAAATTAAAATATTAACTTGAAATCGCACAATGACGTTTGAAATTGACGTGTACGTATCTGGACCATGTAACTTGCGTTTTAATATATGAAATTAAATCAATATTTCATTGCCTTTTTCATCAGTGTGTTGATATTATATGTATTTTTTAATCTGTCTATGTGTCTGTGTCTTTCTATTCATGTGCCTATACAGGTACCTGCACATGCCTAGTTAGCTCTGTGTGTTGGAGTGTTTATATACTTGCGTCGCAGTGATGCGTTATGTATGTAACTGTTTGTGTTTATTTAGCTACCTATGCGATTGTATGTATGTTCCTGCATGAAAAATATGTTCGTGTGCTTAGCTTATATTTGGGCGCATGTGTGTCTGTGTGTATTTATGCATTTGTGTTTGTTTATGAGCTGTGCATTTGAGTGTGTATGTTTTTAGTTTCAATTTGTTCATCTTTGCAGATATATGTGAACACACGCAATGTAATCGAGACAGCAACAACAGCCAATGGGATTAAGTGAACAAAAGAGAAACATGTATAAATAGGACACACGTTAGTTTTATCTGAATTGATGAAAGCAAAATTCCAGGCCGCGTCCTGATACCAGATTTCACGCTCACCTCTTTCTGAAGAATTGCTGTCCATCTGTGCAATCAGTGCAAACAGTACCAATGCTAAGAGGATTCCAAGTACGATGCAGGCCACAAAAGGGATGCTGATCAACTGGGCTTTGCAAATCAATACATATCGTTTGTTATTTCTTTGGGAAAACATTTGGAAGTCACACTTTCGAAATGATAATGAAAAATACTTCATACTATACTGAAAGTTATCTAAGGCCAAGTTTTACACAGTGTATGACATGTGGCAAAGTGTAGTTAAATGAATGCCTGAATCATCTTAATAATTGTATACAAATGTAACCTTGTATATATTGATCTCCTTTCCTAAAGATAAGCAGCCTGTATTTTTTTTTAAATGACTTTTGATAGGTCAGTTTACAAACATACTGGCTGTACATTCATTTCATTTTTTACGAATATATAGCAATACATAATGGTAATATCAGTGGAAGTTATGCAATATATTATGAAGAAGAAAATAAGTTTTATTGTTTACCAAAAGATGTGGCAGGGATTGCCGGTCTCGTAGGTTTACGTCCTGTAAAACATCACATGCACCATTAATCCATTAATATTTCTATTTTGCCTTGAAGTGATGCCAGAATTAATTCGCATGTGTCAAGAAAATAACAAAGTATTGATAAATCAGATCCCTACCGGTGCAAACCACACCAGCATCTTCTTTATGAACGCAGTCGCTTTGACCCACAGATGAAATGACACAATCCCACAGAAAGGATTCACTTCCTCTACAGTGAAGCTCGTCCAGCCATATCTGACCAGCGCCTTGTCCAAACCCCGCCTGTCCCACAGCCCGCACGGCGGGGCCGCAGTCAAGCTGTCTGCACACAACACTGGCCTCTCGGATATCCCAGGAATCGTCACACACCGTCCCCCACGTGTTATTGCTCAATATCTCAACTCTCCCAGAGCAAATGCTGCTTCCTCCAACCAACCGCAACTCCTGTCCTGAATAGTGAGTATTTATATCACAAATGTTAATTACTCACACAATAAAATACGCATTGCTCCATAGTAATATCAAAAATATTAACCTTTAAAGCATTACTCGTAGAATAAGATTAAAAGTCCTATATATAATCCTTCAAAAAATTATAAAAATGAAAATTTGGTCGCTCATTCTGTTTCTGAGACATTATTGTGAGCAACTAGCTGCCGTGTTTTGCCCACAAATATGAGTCCATTCTTTTTGCAGTATATTTTGTTAAGTGGTTGGACACGTCTCGAAGACCAGAAAAGGGCATTGCCAAATGCAAGGATTATTGTTAATAATAATATGCTCCAGATGCACTTAAAGTACATAATTTGATGCACATTGACAAATCCTCGTGATTTGAATGGTTTACTAACAAATATAAGTACTTTTTAATTCACTTATTTTTCTTTCAGTACCTGCTAATCGATGCTGCTGATCAGATGACCTCACAGGCACTGTTTTGAACTATCTGTTTTTTTCGCAGCGTTCTCTGCATTAAACACACATTTATAAGTGAAATGCTTCACATATAAACCCAATACAAATTGTTTCCATAATTCTGAGAACATGTTGTTACCTGAGCAAACTACACCCACATCTTCCGAATGATCACAGTTGTGTTCACCCCAAGGTGGTGAGAGACACTGCCACAAGAAGTACTCATTGGAATTACACATGATGTCATCCAGCCAAATAGGTCCAGATCCTTTGCCAAATGTACCATCATAATCAACATCAAGCGCTCGGCCACAATTTAATTGTTTGCAGATTACCTCAGCAGCCTCGAGTCCCATCAATTCCATTCCCATGACGTCCGAGCAGACTGTGCCCCAAGTCTCATTGTAAAACACTTCCACTCTCCCCTCACAGGAATGTTGCCCATTCACCAGCCGCAGCATCCTGTGCCCTGTGGAGGTAAATTGATGGTTTAAAATTAAATTTTCGATATATTTCACCTCAGGTGATCTCCACCTTGTCAGACTCCGCCACGTTGAAGCCTTCCAGTATGCTGCGCTTCTCGATTGCGCTATATGAATGCAGGAGTTGTTGCATATTCTATATTTTATAATTTCGTGCGTAGCAGCGTTTGTTGCATTCAATTTATTTTTGATCCTGGACAACATGTTGGTGTAATTTATAATATTATGCTGGATGTTTGAAAGAGAATTAATTGATAATAATGCTCATAAACGATCACAAAAAAGACGTGATTGAAATTGCTCGAATGCATCAAAGTCAATATACTTTTTACATGGGTTTCTGCCTTTGGTCACTTTCAACAAGCAATGTCCCAGAACCAGCTTGAAATCAAAGCACCATATTTGATCAGGAGGGTTTTTGGCCAAAAACCAAGGATACACTCCCTTGCCGTTGCTAGCAGCGCTCTTAGGATCTTTATTCACACCAGAACAGACAGCGACGGTCTAGGCAGCATATCCTCCGGTATTAAATGATCAGCCTTTATCGTGATTACTCCATGTGGGGTTTGAACCCAACTGGCTTGTGGCTGAACGGTGAGATTTCCAATAAAATAGCCAGGCTGACAACCCATTAGTAGATAGTGATGGTGAAACACAAAATGTGAAATCTCTTACCTGTACACACAATGCTCACATCTTCTTTATGATGACAGTCGTGCTGACCCCATGGAGACGTAGCACATTCCCACAGAGCTGATTCATTTCCTGTGCATCTGACCTCATCCAACCAAACTTGACCTGAAGCTCGCCCACAGGGGGCAGCAGCCGTTGTATTAACTGCAGATCCACATCCCAGCTGTTTACAAGCAACTTCCGCCTCAAGTGATCCCCAGGAGTCATCACACACAGTGCCCCAGGTTCCCTTGTAGTAAATCTCCACTCTCCCAGCGCACGAACTCCCACCGTCCATCAGTCTGATTGAGATATCCTCTGCCGAATATAAACACAATGTAATTGAATGTATAACATGCATCAGTTTACGCAGCTTAATATAATGACCAACTCAATGTAGAAGAGATGAGCTGAGTGTTTAATGATACAATAAATATTCAACCGGCTGCCCAATTTCCTTTGGTCAATTATAACTTTAGAAGAGGAAGATACTCAAATGCAAGATAAAATTAAACAATCATAATAATCATTGCATTTTATTTAACACCTTCTCGGGTATTTGAGATGTTTCCAAGTGCTTCAGTGCATATAATGTAAAGTGAATTCACTGTGTGCTTTTTGGACTAAATGCAGCAGCCAATCACGCACAAAGGGAACTGCAAATAATCATGGATTGAGTGATTAAATTAACATTATATTGTCTATGTATTTATTAAAGCGACTTTTATTCCACCACCCCGAAAAGTCGCCAGAAAATCAAGTAACAACCCGGCTACTAGTTAAAACCCAATACTGAAATTTCAATTATTAATAATCGTTCACTCACTTGAACACTGCACTCCAACATTACTCTTATTCCCAGTTGAGTGGTTTAGCGTGGATGGTTTGCAATTCAAAATATTTAATTCATTTCCTTGACACTGAACATCCTTCAGCCATGGGGACCGTTCAGCTTCTCTGTACACCGAGTAGCTATAGGCTGTTATGGCAGGACCACAGCCCAGCTGTCTGCAAACCACATTCGCGTCATATAAATCCCACAACTAATCCTGCACTCTCTTCCAGTTTCCACTGTGGTAAATCTCCACTGTTCCAGAGCAGGAACTGCCACCATCTAGCAACCTAAGCTGTCTGTGATCTGTTTCAATTAAAAATAAAATGTTAGGTATCCATTGGGTAAAAACTATGTACAGCATCCAAATATTAATGGTTAGTAAATGTATTGAGTGTTTGTGAACCTTCATTGTTTATTCACTGTCATTCTCCTGCCACAGCACATTCACAACACCACATGTGGAATAATTCAATGATTTGGAACTTTCTACTTTGATGGCGGAGCAGACGCTCACCGATAGGAAGGAAATTGATATTAAAATTGACAAATATTGAATCTATTTATCATTAAAATACACTCACCTGAACAAAGAACTCCCACATCCCGGCTGCTCCTGGAGGGTGAAGCCACTGTGGAATGCGGGCATTTCCAGATGTGTGTCTCGGTTCCGGTACACTGAACATTATTGATCCACACAGGTCCAGTGCCTTCCCCGTACTGGGAAGAGTTGTAGATTGAAATAACAGAGCCACAGTTCTGCTGTCGGCAGATGACAGCGGCATCTGATATGTTCCAGGAATCATCCAGCAATCTGCCCCAGGTGCCGTCATGATAAATTTCCACTCGCCCATCACAGCGGCTCCCTCCGTTCTCTAACCGTAAATGCCAATCTTTACCTGCAACGATTTCAATCCAAAATTCTTTATCAAAACGTGTAAGAGCTGAAGGCAAGATAATCATAGCTTTACCTGATTACAAACGGACAATTCCAAAGTGACAATATAGCTGACATAATGACATAGAAAGCTCTATATTAATGCAGCAAATAAAGAACTTTTCGCAGACTGCCATATTATTGAGGTAACCCATGTTACCTCAATAGCACACCAGCCCAGTAATCCAATACAATGCACCAAATATAGTTTGAGGGCAGGAACCGTTAACTTTTGGGAATATTGGAAAACATGATTGCAATTATAGCAGAAGAGCGTTATCGTCACATTCTAAAACTAGAGGGTGTTCCTGATCAGGAGAGGGCCACCATGTGGTAGTAAGGAGTAATCGCCGTGTCTCAGGAGGAAATGCTGCTATGCTCTCGTTTAATGTAAAAATTAATATATTTTGACAGATTCAAAGATAGGTGGTTCAAATTGGAAGTTCAAGGAAGCCAGGGATTTGGTTTGCTCTCAATTTTGGTGATTGAGATTGTTTACATCTGTGATACCTGAGGAAAAATTCATCACAAATATTACTCATTTATCAGGTCAAATTGGCTAAAACAGACAACATATTTTTTTACAAAAGGTTGAGTTTAGTTTGAAAGACAGTGTCTCAACTATTTTGTAATTATTGAATATTTTGCCGATAAAATGCACAGTAACAGCACTTTACAGTATATTATTTGAAGCACTTTGAGACGTTTCAGCGACGTGGTAAGGCGCTGTGTCAAAACAAGTATTATTACTTTTCACTCACCCGAACATACAACAGTAACGTCATGATCATGTGTGCAGCTGAACTTGTCCCAGAATGACAAAGGACAGTCCCACATTCGGGACTCGTTCCCAACACAGTTGAATGTAGTTTTCCAGATAAGACCCGTTTCTTCCCCCAACTGTCCTCCAGGACCAGTTGATAAAGCGAGTCCACAATCCAGTTGCCTGCAGAGCACATCGGCGTCCTGTAAATCCCAATCAAAATCGCAGATGGTTCCTGATTTATAATCACGCTGCAACTCAACTCTTCCAGAACAGCTACTGTTTCCACCGAATAATGTTATTGATTGATGATCTGGCGTGCAAGAATTAACGTAATGTGAATTATTAACAATAAAAACAACCTCGGTTAGCAATTAACGATTGACAGAATGGTAAGTTACGGAAAGCAAACATGAAAACTAAAACAGTGATCGGAAACGTAGCGTCAGGAATCTACATGCAGATTCATGCCAAGTGACTCGGGGATAATACATATTTACCTCCAAGTGTTTTGTGTAGCTTCAAAACAACACAGTATACGATTATGTTAGGTCCCAAACATATTTAACAGTACTTGCTGTGCATTGCGCATCTGACAGTGTGAAGATGGGAATGACAGTACGTTCCGTATGAAGGGCATCTGCGAGAGTGAGGAATGACAACACCTGCTGTGCAATGAGGGACACAGAGGGTGAGGAGTGACGGTACTTGCTGTGTAAAGGGGAGCCTGCGAGAATGAGGAGGGGAATGACAGTTCTTGCTGTCTCTCCGGGGGGGGGGGGGGGGGGGGTGCGGGGTGCGGTTACATTACATTTTTGTGTAATAGGGTGGTGTCTGAGAATGTAAGGAGCGTCAAAACGACGCGATCAGGTTCGCTGACCTACGAATTGTTTTCTTCACACAGTGACACGTGTTGATTCTATCGCCCTTCCCGAATTTCACCATTGGCATTTTGTATAAAAAGTTATCTAAGAATCAAATATTAGAGCACAATCTTTTATAATACTATACATATTCTGATACAACGTATGTTGAAACTTTAGTAAACACTGTACCTGAACAGTATATGCCACTGTCTCGCTCGTGACCGCAGTAAGGCCGACCAATAACTGTCCCCGATCCTTCTCCAAAGTGAGCATCTCCGGATACTGACACAGCGAATCCACATCCCAAAAGTTTACAAATATCTCCTCCAATCTCCTTGCTAATGTCATTTCCACAAAATGTCCGCCAAGCGACCCTGGTGTCCAACTCTACTCGGCCCGCACAACGGCTGCTTCCATTCACCAGTCTGGGGGGGTTCTCTCCTGCCAATTATATAAAATTAAACATCCTCAGGGATATGTTCAAGGTTATATATAACAGCAATAAAACAACAACAATAACTTGCATTTATATCGCGCCCCTTATGAAGCATAGAGTCTAAGAGTCCTAGAGATTGTGGCAGGAAAACAAGTCCTGTGGATGGAAATGATTTGCGGAGTGTTCAGCTGGGACATTCTGCTCTGAAACTGGAGACATCGAGTCTGTGTAAGAGGAAGCAGATTACATTTTCAACTTGATTGTGAAGCTGGATAAGGCAAGAAATATATAAGATAGGGGAAAGGAGACTCAAGTCTGTATGTTACGGCTAAAGAAGCGGATGCGTCGATCCAGAGTTGAAGAGATATTTGTAGGAAACAAAAATGAAGGTCTCAATGTCGTAATACTGATTTGAGAAAATTAATGCTCATCGTGACTGGTCAACAAGGCAGTCGATTGTCGCTTGGACAGATGGAGACTTGAAATTGAAACATGATTCTTGATAAATGGCCTTTCTCTTCGGGGTGAAGTCTAATAGCTCTTGAGGGATTGTCCTGGATGAACCACTGAGCTATACCGCAAGAAAACATTGCGCTTTCAATGTATTTAATGCATGTATGAAAACCAGACTGATTCAAGGATTGAATCATATCCTGTGCAGAGACAGGGAGAATAAAGAAAATTAACACTGAGCGGCGACAGAGGTCGGTGGTAAGGGACAGCGTGACTCCCTAAAATAGTGATTTAATAACAATAAACCGACATTATGTGGAAAACAATCTTTGTCTTTATCAGAGTTTCTTAAACTGTGGTTTACAAAAATATGAGGACTGAAAAAAATGAACATACACTGAATTATTTACCTGAACAGATGACGCCGGCTTCATAGGCGTGATAGAACCCGGACTGTGAATAGTCACCCCAGGGCATTGACTGGCAATCTCTCAGAGCAGACTCGTGCCCTCTGCACTTAACATTATATGTCACAATTGGACCAGAGCCTGCCCCAAAGTGAGCTAACACTGTTGCTGACAGCGCGGTTCCACAGTCCAGCTCCTTACACACCACAGCTGCGTCCAACTTATCCCAACTACGGTCATCCACGGTTCCCCATTTTTCATCGTGGTAAACCTCCACTCTCCCGGCACAAGGGCTGCCTCCATTCGCCAGCCTCAAACGATCTGCAGAAATGTCACAAGCATGTATTTGTACTGGATTTCCAATCACACAGGATGATAATAATTATAATAATAATCCTCATAAATTGACCGAGCTGCCGCATTTCCCTACACAGTTACTATCCCTTATGCCAATTTCCTTGAAGCGAGTTAATAGGTTTGCAATCTGTGCCAATGCGTTATATCCAATACAGAGGAAATCATGACTGGGACTTCACAATAATTTTCAGAACAAAATAGATTTAAAGGTGCTGTAGCCATGTATTCTCACATGTCAATTGACATTCATAGGTTTACCGGGATGCGGGACAACGCTATTCCGATTTTATAATTATGTGATATGATTACATAATAGATACAAGACGAAAGGTGAGTGTGAACCGTAATCGAGGAGTGAGTGGCATGATGGAAAGAGGGTGGAGAAGCGTGTAAATGCAAAGAGGAATTACATAGGGAGGGGAAGGGATGGTCGCGGCGCAGATCAATTTATTTTCCATTTGCACTCCTTTCTCAATAAGACAGCCAGTCAATGTATGTTCCAATTGTCATGCTTAGACGGAAGACGTGAATCGCCTTCAGAGTTCCCACAAATGTGGGTTTAAGTTTCAAACAATCAGAGGAAATAAATCTCTCTCTACTCAATATAGTGAAGGCCAAAAATTAGTCGAGCAAACACACTACTTGAGATTTATTAAAGTTATGGGATAGATCATCACAGCAACAGGAACATCATCTTGTACTTGCTAAACTCGCGGTAGTGATTCTGAGCAATTAAAAGTGCAGACCTTGCACTGAAACTCAGGGACGCTCTTCAACAAATACTCGTCCTTGACTCCTCTTTTAGATCACATCGGCAGATCTTCCACTTAAGTATACATTTTACCCGTTGTTGGTGTTATGCTGTCATACGTGATCTGGGACGCTATCCTGAATGAGGGGCGATTTACGAATGCAAGTAGTTTTTTTGGCCGAAGCAAGTGGAGGGATGGGACGGGTAGAGGAGTGGGATGGAAGCAGCATAGCTGGAGGAGATTTGATGCATGATGTGACAGGTACGCGAGCGTCACGATCGAGAAAAACGATCCATTCTGCAACTGGAAGTCAATGGAGCCTGGGAACTTTAAAAGCAGCAGAAAATTGCATATACAGTATACTTAATGAATATTATGTCTGGAGGTCGGGCGTAGGCTGGAGTGATGGTTGTTCGAAGTTTGTTGGCGGCAACGTTTTGATTTAATTGTGCTTTATGCATGTTACGCTTCGTACCGAATAACTTAAAAGAAACACGTGCTACTCACATAGTTGCTTTGCTTGAATATCGACTTGTGGGCCTGAAACGGGAAAGCTATCGCCAGTTAGATACTTTGGAAGCTTAGTTCGGTTAATGACGCCCTTTGACCTATTCAATCCACACGCCTAATAATAATCCCTCCAAAACAAAAAACAATAATAAATTGGTCATTTTCAATCTACGACTGTTTGTGGGACATTGCTGTGCGCAATTGGCTGCCGCGTTCGCCCACAAATATACAGTCAATTCACTTTACAGTCTATTCTGTGAAGCGCTTTGGGACGTCCTCCTGACGTGAAAAGCGCTATATCAAATGCAAGGATTATTATTATTATTATTATTATTATCTCATTCCCCACAATACTATTTTTGGCAGAGCCACGCATAAAGACCGGTCAGTGCTCCTTCCACTGCTCAACGTTATTGCTCATGGTCAGATTGAAAGTTCAATTTCGGTGATGAATGTTTAGTGAAATAAACTCAAATTCTACAGATTATTATCGTTAGTCCAAGAGTCAATGATAAGACTGTATAAGTTTTACATAATCACAAACAACCACAGGTGGACACGGGCCAGTACATCAACAGAAATTTACAGCAATGGCCAAAGCAGACCATTTCACACATCACGTTTGTTCGACTGCTCAAAGTAAACTGTTCATTCCGTAATTCTGCCCATCCCTCACCCAACTAACTTGAAGCGTGGTCTTTTATGTACCTTTGTATAGTCCCCTCAACCTCAGCCCTTCTTTCTTTCCCTCTGTGCGTCCACACAAAGCGTACGATGCAACAACAAAAACAACCAGAACAATCTATAATGAAATGTCACCATGTACACAAGGTAGCTTGTATTTGATCACCTCCAGCCTGTCCCCGTCAATGTCAAGTTCTCCAACCTTTAAGAGTTATGAATTGCTACTCCACCTAGAGGGAGCTATGTGAATTCAAGTTACTTATCTTGAGGTTGAAACACAATGCATCTTATGTCGGTTATTTTACTGGCTAGCAAATTCTACATATCAAAGGGAAATAAATTAACCCAAATGATTTGGTTTGAGGGAACTGTTTTTACTTGAAAGTATCTTTCTGTATTTCTGATAGATTTATCATCCATTAACGACCTGAAGAGGCAGTAAGATGATAATGTAATGTATCATTCTTTTCAAATCGAACCTGCTTAAAACAATAAAATATACTATTGTCTGGCACTAAATTTGTTTGAACCTTGAAATTCCTTGAAAGCGAAATTAAACAAAGCCATAGAACGTGACAGAGCATAGGGAAACCATGCAGAGTCTTACTGTGATTCTGATGCAGCAATTACTTTTGTTCCATGTTCCTGCACTTACCGTTTAATCTTTCATATGAATATATTCAGAACATTGTTTAATTCCACCTTCATTTATTTTTGTTCAGCCTGGTGTCTGACACATCCAGAAACTCAATGTCAGGCTAAAGACAATCCAAAAACCAAACGGACATTTTCACACATCACACATACATGGGGAAATCTCAGACATAAGTTGTTGAAATAGAATGCAGACTCTCTCCATGCTTATATAATTCCTGAAAGTATTAGTCAGAAGTTGGCAAGAACCGAGGTTTGGAGATCCCAGAATTGAGTTGAGGTACAGTTGCGGTCTATCCATCTGAAACCCAATAGCTTGAAATGGATATCGCTGACTAGCAAGCTTTACCGCTGCTTGTCGAGCTAGGAACACCTTTTTACAATTCGCAAATTGGGACTATAGATTGTGCTGCAGCAAGGAAACATGACATTCAAACTACTCTTTGCTGAGATTGCATAGCCCACGAGTTTCCTTCCCACTTTGACCATACTGTGAAACTCCTGTTTTGCTTTCTTCTTCCCGTTTGCATCAGGCTTGCTTCAACTCCAGATTTTAGTAATGATTTCCATATCCATCACCACAACAATAATAATAATAATAATAATCCTTGCATTTGATATAGCGCTTTTCACGTCAGGAGGGCGTCCCAAAGCGCTTCACAGAACACATTGTAAAGTGAATTGACTGTATATTTGTGGGCGAACGCGGCAGCCAATTGCGCACAGCAATGTCCCACAAACAGTCGTAGATTGAAAATGACCAAAACATTATTGTTTTTGGTTTTGGAGGGATTATTATTAGGCGTGTGGAGTAAGGAAACTTGCCCAAAGTTTCGCCCTGCCTGGAATTGAACTCATGTCTCTCGCTTGCAAAGCGAGTGCTCTAACCACTGAGCTACAGGACTCCACAATCAGCAAACAAGTGAAAGAAGGGAAAAGTGAAATGATTATTGGCAAGGCCACCAGGAAACAACACATACTATTTTTCAACACATCTGCTCTTGGATTCGGAGGACTATGAAGCTGAGGCAAGAACGGAGTGGTGGCATTGGTGCAGTTCAGCCAAATCTGGTCATAGACTTTTTGTTTGATTTGAAGGAGCGAGGTGGTTTGTGTACATTTGTACATGAGTGGGAGATGTGCAGGATCTGTAAAGGGCAAGGGAGTCAATTATGACAGAGATACTTGTGAATGAAAGTCACAGAGGAGGACAGATCATCACGATATGAGGCTCAAAGCACAAGGGTGAAGATGAATATAAGGCACCAGAAAGGGTGTGGAGTTAGATGTGTTTCGAGAGCCAGTACGAGATACCAGTGGATTGAGCTGCGGTGTGAGGGGTAGAGAAGCTTAGGGAGATAAAATCATGGTCTGTGATGGCATTGTCAATTATCACAGGTTCGAGAAAGTGAGGCCCCATGTAATAATCAGGGAGTGGCCATGGATGTCTTTTGCAGAGTTAATGCGGAAGCAGAGTCCTTGAGAGAAGAGAGGAAGGATAAAAATGGGGATGAAGGAGAGTAGGGTGGGGCAGGTTGGAGACATAGAAAGCAACCAAGCTGATCCTTTCAAGTTTTGATGCGAGAAAGTTCATGATCTAATGTCATTTGAAACTTGAAGTGAAAATGGAAGGTTTTCGAGTTAGAGTTGTTGATGAAAACGTTAAATAATGGTGATCAATGGACAGATTCATCTTAAGCCCTACATTCATAACAATAAACTGACATTATGTGGAAAACCATCTTTGTCTTTATCAGAGTTTCTAGAACTGTGGTTTACAAAAATATGAGGACTGAAAAAAATGAACATACACTGAATTATTTACCTGAACAGATGACGCCGGCTTCATAGGCGTGATAGAACCCGGACTGTGAATAGTCACCCCAGGGCATTGACTCGCAATCTCTCAGAGCAGACTCGTTCCCTCTGCACTTAACATTATATGTCACAATTGGACCAGAGCCTGCCCCAAAGTGAGCTAACACTGTTGCTGACAGCGCGGTTCCACAGTCCAGCTCCTTACACACCACAGCTGCGTCCAACTTATCCCAACTACGGTCATCCACGGTTCCCCATTTTTCATCGTGGTAAACCTCCACTCTCCCGGCACAAGGGCTGCCTCCATTCGCCAGCCTCAAACGATCTGCAGAAATGTCACAAGCATGTATTTGTACTGGATTTCCAATCACACAGGATGATAATAATTATAATAATAATCCTCATAAATTGACCGAGCTGCCGCATTTCCCTACACAGTTACTATCCCTTATGCCAATTTCCTTGAAGCGAGTTAATAGGTTTGCAATCTGTGCCAATGCGTTATTTCCAATACAGAGGAAATCATGACTGGGACTTCACAATAATTTTCAGAACAAAATAGATTTAAAGGTGCTGTAGCCATGTATTCTCACATGTCAATTGACATTCATAGGTTTACCGGGATGCGGGACAACGCTATTCCGATTTTATAATTATGTGATATGATTACATAATAGATACAAGACGAAAGGTGAGTGTGAACCGTAATCGAGGAGTGAGTGGCATGATGGAAAGAGGGTGGAGAAGCGTGTAAATGCAAAGAGGAATTACATAGGGAGGGGAAGGGATGGTCGCGGCGCAGATCAATTTATTTTCCATTTGCACTCCTTTCTCAATAAGACAGCCAGTCAATGTATGTTCCAATTGTCATGCTTAGACGGAAGACGTGAATCGCCTTCAGAGTTCCCACAAATGTGGGTTTAAGTTTCAAACAATCAGAGGAAATAATTCTCTCTCTACTCAATATAGTGAAGGCCAAAAATTAGTCGAGGAAACACACTACTTGAGATTTATTAAAGCTATGGGATAGATCATCACAGCAACAGGAACATCATCTTGTACTTGCTAAACTCGCGGTAGTGTTTCCGAGCAATTAAAAGTGCAGACCTTGCACTGAAACTCAGGGACGCTCTTCAACAAATACTCGTCCTTGACTCCTCTTTTAGATCACATCGGCAGACCTTCCATTAAACATACATTTTGCCCGTGGTTGGTGTTATGCTGTCATAAGTGATCTGGGACTCTATCCTGAATGAGGGGCGATTTACGAATGCAAGTAGTTTTTTTGGCCGAAGCAAGTGGAGGGATGGGACGGGTAGAGGAGTGGGATGGAAGCAGCATAGCTGGAGGAGATTTGATGCATGATGTGACAGGTACGCGAGCGTCACGATCGAGAAAAATGATCCATTCTGCAACTGGAAGCCAATGGAGCCTGGGAACTTTAAAAGCAGCAGCAAATTGCAAAACAGTATACTTAATGAATATTATGTCTGGAGGTCGGGCGTAGGCTGGAGTGATGGTTGTTCGAAGTTTGTTGGCGGCAACGTTTTGATTTAATTGTGCTTTATGCATGTTACGCTTCGTACCGTAAAACTTAAAAGAAACACGTGCTACTCACATAGTTGCTTTGCTTGAATATCGACTTGTGGGCCTGAAACGGGAAAGCTATCGCCAGTTAGATACTTTGGAAGCTTAGTTCGGTTAATGACGCCATTTGACCTATTCAATCACATTCCCCACAATACTATTTTTGGCAGAGCCACGCATAAAGACCGGTCAGTGCTCCTTCCACTGCTCAACGTTATTGCTCATGGTCAGATTGAAAGTTCAATTTCGGTGATGAATGTTTAGTGAAATAAACTCAAATTCTACAGATTATTATCGTTAGTCCAAGAGTCAATGATAAGACTGTATAAGTTTTACATAATCACAAACAACCACAGGTGGACACGGGCCAGTACATCAACAGAAATTTACAGCAATGGCCAAAGCAGACCATTTCACACATCACGTTTGTTCGACTGCTCAAAGTAAACTGTTCATTCCGTAATTCTGCCCATCCCTCACCCAACTAACTTGAAGCGTGGTCTTTTATGTACCTTTGTATAGTCCCCTCAACCTCAGCCCTTCTTTCTTTCCCTCTGTGCGTCCACACAAAGCGTACGATGCAACAACAAAAACAACCAGAACAATCTATAATGAAATGTCACCATGTACACAAGGTAGCTTGTATTTGATCACCTCCAGCCTGTCCCCGTCAATGTCAAGTTCTCCAACCTTTAAGAGTTATGAATTGCTACTCCACCTAGAGGGAGCTATGTGAATTCAAGTTACTTATCTTGAGGTTGAAACACAATGCATCTTATGTCGGTTATTTTACTGGCTAGCAAATTCTACATATCAAAGGGAAATAAATTAACCCAAATGATTTGGTTTGAGGGAACTGTTTTTACTTGAAAGTATCTTTCTGTATTTCTGATAGATTTATCATCCATTAACGACCTGAAGAGGCAGTAAGATGATAATGTAATGTATCATTCTTTTCAAATCGAACCTGCTTAAAACAATAAAATATACTATTGTCTGGCACTAAATTTGTTTGAACCTTGAAATTCCTTGAAAGCGAAATTAAACAAAGCCATAGAACGTGACAGAGCATAGGGAAACCATGCAGAGTCTTACTGTGATTCTGATGCAGCAATTACTTTTGTTCCATGTTCCTGCACTTACCGTTTAATCTTTGATATGAATACTTTCAGAACATTGTTTAATTCCACCTCCATTTATTTTTGTTCAGCCTGGTGTCTGACACATGCAGAAACTCATCGTCAGGCTAAAGACAATCCAAAAACCAAACGGACATTTTCACACATCACACATACATGGGGAAATCTCAGACATAAGTTGTTGAAATAGAATGCAGACTCTCTCCATGCTTATATAATTCCTGAAAGTATTAGTCAGAAGTTGGCAAGAACCGAGGTTTGGAGATCCCAGAATTGAGTTGAGGTACAGTTGCGGTCTATCCATCTGAAACCCAATAGCTTGAAATGGATATCGCTGACTAGCAAGCTTTACCGCTGCTTGTCGAGCTAGGAACACCTTTTTACAATTCGCAAATTGGGACTATAGATTGTGCTGCAGCAAGGAAACATGACATTCAAACTACTCTTTGCTGAGATTGCATAGCCCACGAGTTTCCTTCCCACTTTGACCATACTGTGAAACTCCTGTTTTGCTTTCTTCTTCCCGTTTGCATCAGGCTTGCTTCAACTCCAGATTTTAGTAATGATTTCCATATCCATCACCACAACAATAATAATAATAATAATAATCCTTGCATTTGATATAGCGCTTTTCACGTCAGGAGGGCGTCCCAAAGCGCTTCACAGAACACATTGTAAAGTGAATTGACTGTATATTTGTGGGCGAACGCGGCAGCCAATTGCGCACAGCAATGTCCCACAAACAGTCGTAGATTGAAAATGACCAAAACATTATTGTTTTTGGTTTTGGAGGGATTATTATTAGGCGTGTGGAGTAAGGAAACTTGCCCAAAGTTTCGCCCTGCCTGGAATTGAACTCATGTCTCTCGCTTGCAAAGCGAGTGCTCTAACCACTGAGCTACAGGACTCCACAATCAGCAAACAAGTGAAAGAAGGGAAAAGTGAAATGATTATTGGCAAGGCCACCAGGAAACAACACATACTATTTTTCAACACATCTGCTCTTGGATTCGGAGGACTATGAAGCTGAGGCAAGAACGGAGTGGTGGCATTGGTGCAGTTCAGCCAAATCTGGTCATAGACTTTTTGTTTGATTTGAAGGAGCGAGGTGGTTTGTGTACATTTGTACATGAGTGGGAGATGTGTAGGATCTGTAAAGGGCAAGGGAGTCAATTATGACAGAGATACTTGTGAATGAAAGTCACAGAGGAGGACAGATCATCACGATATGAGGCTCAAAGCACAAGGGTGAAGATGAATATAAGGCACCAGAAAGGGTGTGTAGTTAGATGTGTTTCGAGAGCCAGTACGAGATACCAGTGGATTGAGCTGCGGTGTGAGGGGTAGAGAAGCTTAGGGAGATAAAATCATGGTCTGTGATGGCATTGTCAATTATCACAGGTTCGAGAAAGTGAGGCCCCATGTAATAATCAGGGAGTGGCCATGGTTGTCTTTTGCAGAGTTAATGCGGAAGCAGAGTTCTTGAGAGAAGAGAGGAAGGATAAAAATGGGGAAGAAGGAGAGTAGGGTGGGGCAGGTTGGAGACATAGAATGCAACCAAGCTGATCCTTTCAATTTTTGTTGCGAGAAAGTTCATGATCTAATGTCATTTGAAACTTGAAGTGAAAATGGAAGGTTTTCGAGTAAGGGTTGTTGATTTAAACGTTAAATAATGGTAATCAATGGACAGATTCATCTTTTGCACTGCATTCTGTTTTGGGCGCTGCAACTCTGGAAAGATAAAAACAAACCTGTCAGTGAACTGTGAGGCAAGTTTTTACTCTTACGGTCCTTGGATTTAAGATACCAAGGTGAGTCTTGATTTGGGAGCAATGTGTCAGTGGGATGATGTCCTAGTATCAGAGGGAATATGAGTAGAAAGTGGAGGAGGTATGACCATTTAGCTCATCGATAGCTGCAACAAGATTCCGGCAAGTGGAGGGTCAGATGATGGAAGTCTTAAAGGAATATCAAGTGGAACAATATAACATGGTAGTTGCAGAGCATAAAATGGAGTCCTATAGCTCAGTGGTTAGAGCACTCGCTTTGCAAGCGAGAGACCTGAGTTCAATTCCAGGCAGAGGGCGAAACCTTGGGCAAGTTTCCTTACTCCACACAGAGCCTAATAATAATCCCTCCAAAAAAGCAAAAACAATAATTAAATTGGTCATTTTCAATCTACGACTGCTTGTGGGACATTGCTGTGCGCAATTGGCTGCCGCGTTCGCCCACAAATATACAGTCAATTCACTTTACAGTGTGTTCTGTGAAGCGCTTTGGGACGTCCTCCTGACGTGAAAAGCGCTATATCAAATGCAAGGATTATTATTATTATTATTATTATAAAATAATAATTTGGAAGCGAGTTCTCCCTGTGTACTGGTGAACAATCCCAGCAACTTATATTTGTATTTTTGTTTTATTGATGGGTCGTTGGCCTATGCACATTGGTTGCCAGTTTCGCCTTTAAAATTTACACTTTACTAGAAATCGTATGATGCATTTTGAGATGCCTTCTGTAAGTGAAAGTTATAACATGATAAGGAATTTTCGGGTTATTGATCCCAACTAACATTTTTATACCAGTGTTTAATTCCTA